AAAAGTTCTTGGAGTCAACCACAAGCCATTGCCAGAGGTAGATGAACATTTTTTATTGGATTCCTCATCCTTTTTTAGCCTAGGACCAATTTTTTTGTCATCCCTAGACAAAAATGGAAACTGGGAAAAAAATTGAATGAGTTTTTTCTGGGGATGTACCCACCCATTCTAACAGAAGTTCTTGGAAAAATTGGTTCTAGCTTAAAAAAGGATGAGGAATCCAATAAAAAAATGTTCATCCATCTCCGGTGATGGCTTGTGGTTGACTCCGAGAACTTTTGTTAGAACCCTAGTACATGTTCAGCTGACGAACCTTTATATCTCCGTCTCCTCATCATCATAGACGCCCACGCTTTTCCTTCTATACATGTGATCCAGTGTTACCAACTTACTATACATACGAGAGTACGGGAGAGAGAGAAATGCAGCATTTATCGTACACTCGTGTATAGCAGGGTCAGAAACGGCTCGAACTGAAATTCTTTGGATTTTCTGTTGAGAGTTCAAACGGTGGTGGTTTTTTTTTTTCTGCGGAGTGAATTTGGAAGAAATACATAAGTGTTCTGTGATATTTCACTGATACAACTCACCCATTTAAATCAACGTCGATCATCATTAATGCTACCAAAAAGTTGTGGTGAAATAATAATGACATGTTTACTCTTATTGCTATTTCGATTTTTGCAACGCTGGATGAAATCTGGATCTGACTCGCCTTTTTTATTCAATTGATAATGTACAATATTGGGAAAAATGCTGCTTTTATTTGGCTTCTCATGAACAGTGTACACGATTATTTTCGACAGCTCTGAAATGCAACTGTTAAGATTGTGCTACAAGGTATGGACACCTGAATATGATGGACGAAAATCTGTCATCACATTCGGATTGCCAGAAAGCCTCAGGGTTTCAAGATTTTGACAATTGAAGAGAAAAAAATGTCGGAATTGCAGGATTAATTTTTGAAAACTGTAACAACTCCTTGAATGATTGAGCTGGTGCTTTGGAGATGGACAGCAAATGGAGTAAAAATAAAGATCATTGTAAATTGACTCCAACATTTTTTTTTTTTTCAAAACAAGCCAATTTAAGCAAATTACTTCAAGGATTTTTTCCATCAACTGTGTTCAGAAAATAAAAATGCTTCCTGACTGTTCTTTTTTTCATATAAAGAGGAAAAGTATTTGTTAATGGAGATTAAGTTACTCTATTTTCTTGAGTGACATGCACCTACTTTATGAAATATCAATCTTTTATTTTCACTCAAAAATCATGACAAAAATGAATTTCCCCTTGGAATTCACAACCAAGATTTTATTTGACAAAAGAATCAGAACATTTTAGGGAATGCATGCTGAAATTTGAAGTTCAGACTCAAACAAAATTTGAAGACCATTAATGTGCTGCATTCCTTCTTTTGTTTCATGCTTCCATCATCAGCCAGCTTTATTTGATCCTTATAGTTTTTATACTGTGCAGTATTTTTTATTCTTTCTATATAGTTCCTAAAACTACTCCTTCTCACTCCACTGAATGAGTTTTCTTTACACTCCTGAAAAATGCACAAACTTTTCCCAAAATTTGTTTACCAGGAATAAATAGGGCAATATAAATGGGTAAAGTAAGGTGAGATTGAACCTTTAGTGAAAATGTGATGTGAAAAGGAGTGAATGTGTATATACTGTGCCATTAGTTTCTATTGTAAAATATCAAGGGAAATCATGATGCCCCAGAAATGAATTCAACTGCAAGATTTTGCTAGAGAAGTTGCATTAGTTTGGTGCAGCTCTCAACGCATGACCTCTCCCCTCAAGCTCCACCTCCCTCCCCCCATCCCCACCCTCTCATGCAGTTGCAAGCATGAGCAGACATGCGCTGTACTCACTGCCATGCAGCCTGTGCCCGAGGCTCAGTGCTCACAAGAATCCTCTTCTGCTGGGTGCTTTCACATCTCCCTCTTTGAATTTATTGCTTTTCATTCCTTGTGCCGTCCGCATGTTTTTATTCCTTGTTTCTTGGAACTTCTGGATAAGCATTATTATTGTTTGTAGTTGTGAGGTGTGCAGCTTGTGTGTTAAGTGTCTGTGAAATAGTAAAGAGAGAGAGAGAGAGAGAGAGAATTCATTGCCTTATTTTGTGTAAGTTACTAAGTTGGCATCCTGCCTTTATTCAAAGTGTTGCAATTTGAGCTGGATTTGATTTATTTGAAGCAGTGTTAACTGTGTTATTCAGTTTGCCCTGTATGTTAGCTACATATATGTGATGTGAATATTTTTCTTTTGAAAAATGATCATAATTTTTTTATGCTGAACGTTTTACATAGCCTTCAAATAATTTATCAAAAATGCATATGAACATGTTTAAAGTGTGCTGTGCTACCGTATAGGTTCACTTCTAAACGAAGGACATTCAATCATTGAAAGAATCAATAAAAAGTGACCAAGAGGGGTAAAAATATTGAGATGATATCAATTTCGCGTACTTTTTATTTAATTTGGTGGTTTTTTCAGGGAAACATTTTTGAAGGAGTTTGGAACCAATCATTTTTTTAATGATCTGAATATTCAACAATATATACGAAAGCACAGTTGAATTTCATATACAATTTATACAGTATTGAGAAACATGCATGATATGGAGGAATTATTTATAATTACAGTATTTCAATCAATGGAACCATAGAGAAAACAATAAAATAAATAGGTCAACTTTTCTCTTTTTGTGAAATAAGTTAGCTAGTGCCCAGAGCAAAGACAAAGTACAAACTGTAATGGAAATTCTTTTTGCTGCCATATTAATTGACAATATTAAACCTCCCAGCCTACCTCAAAATTTGTCTTGCTTTTGGATAACTATTACATTATAGATTTAAAAAATAAATTCACCCAATACAAGAAATGTCTTGCAAAGGTTGACCTGAAAAAATATTCTGAGCTAATCTTGTTACAATAAAGATCATTTCAGAAAAACATCATATAGTATACTGCATGTACCAACAAATTCAATGTTAAGGTCCCTCATCCATTTGTGTCAAAAAATTATGATTCTTGGTATACTGCATTTGACTAGTAATCAAACAAAAGATTCTTTTTGCTGGTCTCGAAGGCTTTTTCATTGCTGTAAAAAATTGTAATTGCATTTTTTTGGTGAAGCAACTCCTTATTCAGTGTGTCAAGTTTATTTCAATCTACTTCAGATTCAGAATGCCACAGATTTGAATGTGGAAGAAAATATTCAAAGAAGACAAAAATGGATTCATGCAGTGCGTAAATAAGAAGTAATCCTCTATTTCTCAATTGAATTTCCATAAATTTCTTGCCGTATATATTTGTGATTCTACGGTTTATATTTATCATCATTGGCAAAATTTGGTGTGGTTGGGGACTCAGCTCAGGCCCCAATAATGGATTGGGGCCAATAACCAGATCACGAAGTAAGTAAATCAAGTGAAAAAAACCACCCAAGCAGAAACTGCCAAGAGATCGGGGAATGTGTTTTCCCCCTCTCCTCAAAACAAAAAATATGGTACAAAGGAGCCAATCAGACGTCTTTGCAATCTTAATCCCATTAGTTTGGGCTTAATCCAGTATCCTGATCAAGAACACAATTTGAGACATCAATAAAAGCCATCGCAAAATAAGGAATGACCATCAGCCTTGAAAAGTTTATTGCTAAACACACAATTGCGTGAGAAGTATTCTGATAGGTTTTTTTTCATTAATAAGTTTATTTTGCTATTTGTGTTTGAAGTTTTAACTCATCCTTTTCCTTTTGGGAACAAAGTACTTGAAATACAATTTTAAAATTTAACTTTGGAATCTCTTCAAAGATTCCCTGCCCTTCACCAAGGCGGATTTTTTATTTCATTTTCAAACCCTTCAGATCCACTTCTCAAGCTTTTATTTTGTCGACCTTTAATCAGTCCACAACATGTGTAATGTCATGTCCCAAAGCTGCACAGCTCTAGTATCCAGCCACATCTGGCCAAGAAAACTCTTGCATTTTGAGGCCAGTGAGCCTTGCAAAAATCCTGTTTTTGTTCAGACTCACTGAGCCTCACTCAAGGCCAAGAAGGGGTCATCACTTCCTCAACTTTACTCCAATTGGCCAATCCTGAGTCAGGAAGAAACCACCTGATTTGTTACTGGCCCAGTCCAAGCACCTGCTGGGTATAAGCGCCTTCATTCCTCTTTGAGAGGAGAATTAAGGATCTTGTGTTAAATGGCCATTTAACTTAAATACATTTGAACCTCCATAAGTCAAATTTGTAGGGACCAGGAAAAAATTCAACTTGGGGAGGTTTTGATTTTTGGAGGTTTCCAGTTGAGGATGCAAAAACTTCTGTTTTGAGAAGAAAGGAAAAAAGTGTTGGAAATCAGAATGAGGATATTCTGGGCCAAAACTAGCTCCTTAATCAGTTTACACCTTCCTGAACTTGCAGGCAGGGGTTCATTTGCTATTTTTGTCTCTCAACTTCTTTCAAGATGCATCAAATTATTTTTAAAAATAATTTTCTCTTTCTCATTTTAAGGAAATAATAACCAGAAGGCCTCCAAAAATGTGACTCACAGCGGTTTAGAGAATAAAATTCAAGTTAGGGAGGTTTTTAATGCATTGATTCTAAGGGGATTCAGACAGGGACTTGAAAAAAAAGACTTAGAGAGGAATTTGACTTATGGAGGTTTGACTTATTGAGGTTCATCTGTATTACCTTATTCATTCTTCTGAGCTAACCAACCAATCTTACGTATGATTCTGCCATTCTAAATAACCATTTCATCAACAGCCAAATGACAATCTGTGTAATGAGAATGAAATGCTCTGAAAAGAGTTTGAGTTCTTATTCAAACCTTGCAATCTGATGGCTGCACAATTCAATTCCTTTGTCTGATGGGATCCAATGGACCATGACATGTGACACACTTTAGAAAAAAAATTTTGCCCCTACTATCAGGATATTGCAATTCCTTTTTTTTTAATGTTGAACATTATGACTCACAATCAGTGAATGTCCATTCCAGAATTTTGATCTATATATACTGTACCAAAGCTGCTGTCATGGGCAGCAAGGTGTTGAAAGTAGTGCTTCTGGCATGGACATGGTGTCTACTGGCTGGTTTCGCTCTAGTTCTTGCCTCACCTGCTGATGAAGCAGACCCTGAAGAAGGGATCCAAGAGGAGATTGTTGCCAACCAAGGGTTTTATCCATTGCTAATGCCCAACGTTCATCCTCCGTCGGTAAGATTTCCTGAAGGCTTTTTTCGTCGATCGGTTATATATTCTTCAAAAATTGAAAATAAATTTTTGCCTCCCTGTGTCGAACGAAAAAAGATCGATTTTTATATAGTTAACTAAAAAGCAATTTTTTAAAGCTTGAGAGCAAAAATCGTTGCAGTAACCTCGTGAACCTCAAGCTTCCGATTATTGACTGAGTTTACAGGATGCTAAACTCTAAAGCAAGAGGATATTTATCAAATTAAAGGAAATTGAAACTGAAAAAAAAAATTAAAAACCGAAAATGATGAATATTTTTAATCGGACATTTTGCGTGGAACGCATTTCATTAAATTGCGTTGATCTTCCATTTTCTTGTTCAATAAACAGAATAATAGCCATACGGGAAGAGATTTTAGTCACGAGGTAACAGATTGGAAGTTGTATTAATTGGTGATGAAAGAGATACGCACTTTTTATGTGGGAATTCAGACTGTATAACTGATCAAAACTTTGACGTCGTTTGGAGGCTTTTAACTTGTCAGAAATTATTTGAAAAAACACAATACTCAAGTAAAACTAGACGTTGGGAATTTATAAATGTACCAATAACAGTATTCAAAGATATTACAGTGTTGGTAAAACAAAATTGAGAATATCTTGCGAAATTCGTAATTGTTTTCTTTCATTCGGCTTATTTGTTTCCGCATCAATCGACTCAATTTACTACTTTTTTAAATTTGGTTGTTGTCGAAAGAGTCAATGACCTGAAGGATTAATTTCTCTCATGCGTGTGCTGATGACCTTATTTATACAACGAGCAAAAAGTATCATGTTGTGTTGGCATATCTTGGGGATCAGCATTTCGAATATTTGTGGTTGAAACATTTCCGAAATCTTTTTACAAGCTATACGATATGTCTACGAAAATAGAATTTTTCGATATTTTTTCCATTTTCAGGATGAATCTTACCTATGCACACCCATCAAGCTCAACCCGGATCAAACTTACTACATAAGTGAGTAGAATTTTAGAAATTGTCCGCTTTCAAACATATTCCAAGCGAGACAGAAAAAAATAGAATCACTGGCCAAAATCCTGTGACGATTAATCCCGTCCAGACGAATTTATGACCAGACTTGTGAAGAGTTCCCGCAGAAAGATTAAAGACGTTGAAAAAAATAGACGCTTCTTGAAATAATTGAATAAATGGTCAAGAATAAACAGAAAAACGATTTTTTGTTTTTTTCAGAATTTATCGGCATAAGTTCAAAACTTGTTGATTTTTATCGCAATGTTTCTTCCTGGTTTTTGAAAAGAGCAGTTAGCAGTTCTTAATCAAGAATTTCTGCCCACAGCAGATCATTGTCAAAATTTATTCAAAATAGAAAAACCTAGATTGAAACAATAGTAAATAAGTCTAATAATGTTTTTATGAGGAAAACTTCGTTGCTTTCTGAAAATAAAATTTCCCTGTGCAGTATTAAGCTATGATGAGACACTGCTCATCTTCTAAACTAAATTTGATCTTTCAACTAAATTGATCATCGGATTCCGGAAAGAAATCACGTACATTTTATTTTAGGAATATCGTTGTACTTTTCTTAACTTTTTTTTCTAGCCAGATTTCTTCAGGTCTTTGCTGTGACAAGATTTAACCTGACTGATTTTTGTTTTCTGTCATTTTAGCGGGTTTCAGGCCAAATGCAACGGCTGCAACTGCGCATCACATGTTGATCTATGGATGTGACTCAAAACCAGGAAGCTCCAAAGCAGTTTGGTAAATTCTTATTCAAAAAGGAAAAATCATGTTTTTATCATTCAAGCTGTGGAATTTTGTACAAGTGACAACGCTTATCTTCAGCACAGAATCATTATGATAATCCAGTACTGCTGTATTTACTTATGTACAACTCTCTTATGTACAACAGTACTGTTGTGATCTTGCTTGTTTTGCAGCATATAAGTGTAACCATTCAAAAAATCAAATTGGCATAATAAGAGACTTGTCACATAACAGACTATAGTCTGTTGCACAAATTAAGTCCATTGTGTGCTGATTGACTGCATCTATAAGCATTGCAATAAGTTCAAAACTTGTTGATTTTTATCGCAATGTTTCTTCCTGGTTTTTGAAAAGAGCAGTTAGCAGTTCTTAATCAAGAATTTCTGCCCACAGCAGATCATTGTCAAAATTTATTCAAAATAGAATAATCTAGATTGACACAATGGTAAATAAGTCTAATAATGTTTTTATGAGGAAAACTTCGTTGCTTTCTGAAAATAAAATTTCCCTGTGCAGTATTAAGCTATGATGAGAAACTGCTCATCTTCTAAACTAAATTTGATCTTTCAACTAAATTGATCATCGGATTCCGGAAAGAAATCACGTACATTTTATTTTAGGAATATCTTTGTACTATACTAAACTTTTTTTTCTAGCCAGATTTCCTCAGGTCTTTGCTGTGACAAGATGGAAACTGACTGATTTGTGCTTTCTGTCATTTTAGCGGGTTTCAGGCCAAATGCGACGGCTGCAACTGCGCATCACATGTTGATCTATGGATGTGACTCAAAACCAGGAAGCTCCAAAGCAGTTTGGTAAATTCTTATTCAAAAAGGAAACATCATGTTTTTATTATTCAAGCTGTGCAATTTTGTACAAGTGACAACGCGTATCTTCAGCACAGAATGAATATGATAATCCAGTACTGCTGTATTTACTTATGTACAACTCTCTTATGTACAACAGTACTGTTGTGATCTTGCTTGTTTTGCAGCATATAAGTGTAACCATTCAAAAAATCAAATTGGCATAATAAGAGACTTGTCACATAACAGACTATAGTCTGTTGCACAAATTAAGTCCATTGTGTGCTGATTGACTGCATCTATAAGCATTGCTGTAGAATTATGGGCCATATATTGAACAAAATATAATACAATGGCCCCCGCCTAACAGACCTCCCTTGTAAGGGATTTTTGCCAAACAGACCAGCTCTGCAAGCAGTTTTTCCTCCTGCCCAACAGACAAAATCCACCAAACAGACTTCTTTTGGTTTAAAATTAGTGTTGAAAATTGAAATTTTCAATTTTTATGTAATTGAATTCTTGTAAAGGACTTTTTGTCTAACAGACTTGTCCCTTGCACAAATCAAGTCCGCTAGACGGGGGTTGACTGTAATCATACTTGTGAATCAAAAGCTTAGTACTGAATTTATACTTGAGTACCAGCACACGCCCTTGAGTAAGGCGTGCACAGGGGTTTTTCAGTTGGAAATTTGGCTAAAATTGTATACCCAAGTAAGACTTGCACCCCAATTTTTAGTAAATCTAAAACCACAAAATTTCAAAAATTGATTCACAAAATCTGACTTTAGACATGAATTGAACAAAAATTTGATCAATTTTCAATTTTTTCAGTACAAAAAGGTTTTCTTGTTACATTTGCTTGAAATTTCTCCATCATGCCATTATGATCAAGTATAATGCACACATAACTTCCCAACACTTCTTGAAAAATTTGTACCTGCTTATATGAGCCGCACCCCTTTTTTTCTTCTGAAATTTGAGAAAAAAGATGCCTGTGGTACTCCAGTAAATACTGTGAATTTCAAAATTATCCTTGGGATCTTTCTATTGCAAGTCACTATTGTTCCCTATTTTTCACAAAATAATGTTTTACTTAATAATATTGTGCTTCAATTTTACCCTGTAGTTGTGGACATTGGGTTCAAGTTTTCTTGAACTTTTTCGCCTCAGTTCGAAGATTTTCTCCTTTCACTGACTCAAACCGTGACTCGTTCCGCTGTTTGCTCTCGTTCCATCGATTTGCATTGATTCCATTTCACTTTTTCAAAACCAGTTCGAGACACGGTCGACTTAGGAATGAAGTGTTCTTGTCCATATACTGTATAGTCTTTATAGTGTCCATTCTATGTCTTCATGGATTATAAAGAAATATACTATATATTCGCGAGTGGGCATCAACCGCTAGAAGAAAAAAAAAACTGCAACATTTCCTGCGAATTTCCAATTAGCAACGGTTGATTTCCGTTGCTGCCAGTAGCAGATCAACATAATTGTATATGTTTCAAAATAACAAATTAAATCAGCAGTTCATAATGTTTGCCGGACGTCTGCAAAATGGATTTGGTCCAATTTTGCGCAGAAACGGGTTTAAAAATCTACCATCCTTCCGTGTTTCTCTGCAGTGTATTTTCTAAATTCTTATTTTATTTCAGCTTCAATGTTGATAGTTTTAATTTGTAATTTCAAATGCATTTACAATTTTTTCGAGCAGGAATTGCGGAGAAATGTCGAGAAGTTTCGGTTCTGGGATGGACGTGGCCAAGCCCTGTAGCGGAAGTTCCAGAGTCGTCTATGCCTGGGCCATGGACGCACCGGCACTGGTACTTCCGCCGGAAGTCGGCTTCAAAGTTGGCGCGGGATCTGACATCAATTACCTTGTTCTGCAAGTTCATTACGCCACGATCGCCCCTTTCAAAGGTATACTATTTGTTTCAATATTTTGAAGCATTGAAAGGATTACAAAGTCGGCTTCAAAGTTGGCGCGGGATCTGACATCAATTACCTTGTTCTGCAAGTTCATTACGCCACGATCGCCCCTTTCAAAGGTATACTATTTGTTTCAATATTTTGAAGCATTGAAAGGATTACATAAGTTTCATCTTCATTATGGTCAATTAAAAAATTATGGACTGAAATTGGAATTGAAGTTAATGAAATGCTGGAGCACATTCTTTTCTTATGCCCAAGCAGGATTCCACTGCTGCAGAAATGAGCTATACAAACAGATTTGAGACTCTTGAAATTCAATGAAAGATTATCTCCAAAATCTCAGAGAACCAAGATAAACTGTTAGCTTTATTAAATTTCTCCTCAACCATTCTCTCCAAATTTTAATCAACTAAGACTTATCTGGGAGATGCAGGCTGAATATTTTGTGCTTTACTTTGGGTTCAGTAATTGCCTTATGTTGTAATGTGTATAACTGATATTTTACTTTGGTTATCAGGGAGGGGAAGAAAGTGTATGCATTTGCATCAGATGTGCAATTGTACAATTTTGGATGTACTTTCTCTACCTTTAATATCCATGTACAGCTTGTTATGCTAATTACTGAAATTATTAAAAATTACAAGCTGTGTGTACCTCCTTTGCTGATGTACATTATGAAAGTTAAATGACTCAGAAAGTTTTTGTATTTCAGATAAAAATAGGCTTTATTTCACTTCTGTACTTCAACACAATTTCACATGAATCAGAGACAGGACAAAACACACAATATTTCCCTATAGGATTCACACTGAGAGTCAGTGCACTAATGCCTTGGATGTGGGAACTTTGAAGCTTGTGAATGCTGAAAAGTGGAAAATAAAGCTTGCTGATCAATCAATCAATGTTAGCAATAAGTGAGAGATCAAANAGTCGGCTTCAAAGTTGGCGCGGGATCTGACATCAATTACCTTGTTCTGCAAGTTCATTACGCCACGATCGCCCCTTTCAAAGGTATACTATTTGTTTCAATATTTTGAAGCATTGAAAGGATTACAGAAGTTTCATCTTCATTATGGTCAATTAAAAAATTATGGACTGAAATTGGAATTGAAGTTAATGAAATGCTGGAGCACATTCTTTTCTTATGCCCAAGCAGGATTCCACTGCTGCAGAAATGACATATACAAACAGATTTGGGACTCTTAAAATTCAATGAAATATTCTCTCAAAAATCGTAGAAAACCAAGATAATAAGGTGTTACCTTTATTAAATTTCTCCTCAAAGATTCTCTCCAAATTGTAATCAACTAAGACTTATCTGGGAGCTGCACGCTGAAAATTTTGTGCTTCACTTTGGGTTCAGTAATTGCCTTTTGTTGTAATTTTTATTACTGATACTTTCTTTTTTATCAGAGAGTGGAAGAAAGTGTATGCATTTGTATCAGATGTGCAATTGTACAATTTTGGATGTACTTTCTCTACCTTTAATATCCATGTACAGCTTGTTATGCTAATTACTGAAATTAGTAAAAATTACAAACTGTGTGTACCTCCTTTGCTGATGTACATTATGAAAGTTAAATGACTCAGAAAGTTTTTGTATTTCAGATAAAAATAGGCTTTATTTCACTTCTGTACTTCAACACAATTTCACATGAATCAGAGACAGGACAAAACACACAATATTTCCCTATAGGATTCACACTGAGAGTCAGTGCACTAATGCCTTGGATGTGGGAACTTTGAAGCTTGTGAATGCTGAAAAGTGGAAAATAAAGCTTGCTGATCAATCAATCAATGTTAGCAATAAGTGAGAGATCAAATTTACAATATGCCCACTTTGCACAAGATTTGAGAATGAAAAATGTCAATAAGGCTTCTGAATGGTATGCATTCTGAGCTGCTTCAGAATTAAAGGGAAGTTATTGCTTTTTTTCATACTAACAGAGTTGCTTAGGTCTAAAAAAATACATACATAGAATTACAAAAAATTTAGTTACAAGAAAAAGATGCTGAAACTCTCATAAAAAATAAGTAATATACTTTAAATCAGTAACCCAAAATAGTACTGTACTAAGCTGTTCCACACGCAGTGGGAAAGTTGGAAAATGTTTCATTTCTTGTGGAAGTGCAGAGGAAACCCAAAATCCTTCCATCAAATTTTTAAAATGTAATGCTTGCAGCATGGCTGAGGATTTATTTACCTGATCAAAAATTTTAAAACGAAGCTATTCAATTTGATATGCTTCAGCCCTGTTTTCTGAAAATTCCATCCTCTCCGCATAAATGAAGCAAATGCGCATGAATGTTTTCGGTTGTGCCTTTTTGGGTGTACAGTATATATGTGCGGAGGATGAGTGCGATGAACCTTGCTCCACTTACCTTTTTCCTTTTTCTTATAGTTGGGGACTCGTGTTATTGTTATATTGTCTCGATCCGGGCAGTTCTTCTATAGAAGGTTCAACGACCTGTTGTCGTGGTCCACGAGACGAGATGAACAATCATAACGGTGCCTCGGGGATTTCATATCACATGGCTCAGATTTTAAACTTTCAATTCTTCCAGCAATTGTGGTCGGAAATAACTCAGTTGCGTGATTCGCGAGGAAATAAAGTTGCGATTTTCCATAAGTTTACATTTTCTAACAAAGGGTTCAATTTTAATCAGCTGCGAAAAAATGTTTAGCGAGACATTCTTATAATTTTTGAGAAAACTGCGGCCGTTTTTTTTTAGGAAAGAAGCTGAGGAATACCTTAAAAATATTCATAAAACACCGGGTGCAGTTTTAATTCCTATTAGAAAATAACAATTCAGAAGGCAAGTGTATTTCTTCTCTGATTTCAAATACTATTTATATATAGCAAAGAAAATAACTGAGAATAGAAAAAATAGAACTTTGCACATTCCACCCAAAGTTCCCATCATGAAAAACTCGTCCCAGTATACAGTCAACCCCTGTCTAACGGACTTGATTTGTGCAAGGGACTAGTCTGTTAGACAAAAAGTCCTTTACACAAATTCAATTACATAAAAAATTAAAAATTTCAATTTTCAACACTAATTTTAAACCAAAAGAAGTCTGTTTGGCGGATTTTGTCTGTTTGGCGGGAGGAAAAACTGCTTGCAGAGCTGGTCTGTTTGGCGAAAATCCCTTACACCGGAGGTCTGTTAGGCGGGGAACACTGTATAATTGTAATTTGTAAACAATTCAGCTGAAGCGCTGAGTACACCATAATTTACTTGGAATTCCGTGCATTTTGTTGGTACTGTATATTGTGAATATTTTCACAGGTGCTTCTTCACAAAAGAAATGGCAGCAGTTTAATTCTAAAAAAAAAAGCAGACACTGATCTATATTTGTGAACCTCATCTTATGTTACCACTATTCCATTTATTTCCTTCATTTTGAAATAATAATAAAAAATGCCCATCACCGAATATGTTCAACGAACAGGAATTCCATTCTTTTGACCTTGAAAACTTCGGTCTAATCAAAAGAAACATCTTGAAAAATTATCAAACATGCATGCGTGAAAAAAAGGCCGGACCCTTTGATGACTTCTGTACAATATTCCGTTTAAAGCGAAATATTATTCACCCCAATATTGGGAAATAATATTAATATTGAAAGGAAATTGTTTTTCTCTCTCGCAGGCGGAAAAACAGACGATTCCGGAGTGTTCCTGCATTACACTACGGAACCGTGAGTATAATTTTCTTCCCTGGATCAATTTTCGCATGAGTGCATAGAGAGAAAATAATCGCGCCAATTTTATTTGTTCTTATGCATGAACGATATGAAGGCAACCGAAAACCGCGGGCGTGTTGCTGATGAGTACTGGTGGCGTAATTATGCCTTATTCCACTACCCACATGGAATCTGCGTGCAAAATCAATGAAGACAAGGTCGTGCATCCGTTTGCCTTCAGGACACACACTCATTCTCTCGGTTAGCCTTATTGCGCAATGATTGCGATAATTACGCCGGCAATGCCCGCTCAGGATTCGTGCTTGCGCGACATCTAGAATAACATTCTCATTCTTTCCAGCCTCTAGTTTGTTCTGTTATTCCTAGATGTCGCAAGAGCATGTGTTGGTCATCGCGACCTATACGAGCTCGAGCTTGTCGAAATTCTGCGATTTCGAGGATTCAATGACATATTGTTGGCATTTATTTCAGGTCAAGTTGTGTCGGGGTACAGAGTTCGCAAAACTGAAGACTCGGGATACGACTGGCAACTGATAGGAAAACAAGATCCTCAATTGCCGCAAATGTTTTATCCAGCGCAGAATGAGCTGCAAATTCGACAAGGCGACATCATTGTAGGAGCAATATTTTTTTTCAATTTCAATTCCATGCGCATCGCTGAAATTTTACATTTTATTCCCGATATGAAATTGACAACTTTTTTTCCATTCCAAATAGGCTTCCAGGTGCACAATGAAGAGCAACAGAATGAGAATCACGACTGTTGGGTGAGTTCCATAAATTCTCTGAATGAGATCTTCGAATATTCTGCAGTGCGTGTGGTTCTCTATACTGTATATAGATATTGTGTAGGTATCGCCTGAATCTGGTAAAGATTTGCATCGAATGGCGTTGAATTAGCCTGATTTAACTTCATAATCATCCGAATGAGTTTATTCAGTATATTTTTGTGCTTCAAATCGCATGAATATTTCGAAAGTGGATCAATTTTGTCGGAATATATCTTGGGGCGACACCTGCGTTAAACTCCCAGAAGCTCGCGTTTAACTTCAAGAGAAACCGCGAGGGAAATATTCGCGCGTGGGATTCGTAGTCTCCTTTCTCAATGCGATAGCTGATTGATCGTTTTTGACAATCATTTTTTGACATTTCCAGACCGACGAATCGTCACGAAATGTGCAATTTCTACATGATGTACTGGGTGGACGGGGGAAATCCGTTGGAGCAGAAATATTGCCAAACAGCTGGTCCTCCGTTGTTCTACTGGTCGTGGTACGGACTGAGGAATATTCCACAGGACGCCTCAGTTCTTGACGAGTAATGCAAAATTTTAATTCGAAAGAGAAAAAAACATTCCATTGACGTACATGGAAAGAAAAAAAAAATGCAAGCAGCCTTGCATGATGGAAGTATTTAGTAATATAATCCTTGTTGAAAATTTCATTCTGAAGAGAATTTTGATTTTTTCCGGCTACAAAGAAAAAAAAAGAAGAGAAACATTGAGTCCAAAATTCGCCGGCCTAGAGATCGGCAAACGTTTTTCGCGCGGTGTCAAAAAACAAACAAGTCTTCTGTTTCTGCCCAATGGAAACATACTGAATTTCAATGAAAGAGATTATATTTTTTTCGTTTTTTTTCTGTTTAAAAGGAGAAGAAACAGTTTTGAGTGTGATTCAATCAGGATCGACGCGATCAAAACATTTTAGTTTTCTGCTACTGATGCGCGAAAAGAAAAGCGGACCCTATGCTTACTATACTTGATTTTCGGAAACGAACTGGAACCAAAGGTTACCTTATTCCCCAGAGTTATTGTTGGTTGATTTTGTTTTGTTGATGTTTCGAAATGGGATGACTCGGTGTTACCCTGAACAAGAGAGTAAGAAAAAAATATGCGAGACGGAAAAAGCGTGTTGTATGTTATTTAGCCCTTGTGCGGCCAAGTGGCGATATTTTATCAAAATTTTGTGCCACTGGGCACTGGAAACAAGAAAAACTCACTCTTTCACCAAGGGCTAAGTCAGAAAAAAGTCTGAGATTTTTTCTAATCCTGCAGAAAATTTTCAACAAAAATAAAAAAAAATCCATGGCTGGGTGGCGTTTTTCATGCATTCCTGTCATAGGATTTGCATGGGAAAATCTTGGGAACAAAAGAAAATTTGCCTCCCAGATTTTTCCCAACTTAGTCCTCCTCAACCTGGGTGCTTTTCAGTAACCTTGGGTCAAACTGAAATGCGCTGCCCCCCCCCCCCCCCCAGAAAAACCCCAACTCTGCTGCACACTGAGGAAGAACCCTCCACCATCCAAGGGTTAAAAGGGGCATTCAGTAACAAACAGTTGTGGGAATACAATATTCAAGATTTACTGATTGCATCTTCATCATCAGAATTCAAGATTCCAAAATCACAAATAGACAGTTTTGAAAAAGCTTTAAAAGTTTTTCAACATGACTACCAGGTCTTCTTTCCCAAAACTTCAGTTGACTGCAAGTGTATGGACTTGAAACGTTGGCCTTTTTATTTTTCTGGAAATCAATTATCCCAGAGAAGAAATATTTTCGTTTTTATTATGCTCAATTTTTATTGATTGACTCGCCAATAAATGTAGAAAAATGCATTTGTTGTTCAGTTTCTTCTTACCCATTCATGTGCAAATTTGGACCTACTATGGGCAAATAAAATGACAATTGTCAAGAGAATTCTGGCAAATTAAACTCAGGCATGAGGCCTGGTACTCCTTATTGCAGAAATGCAGACTTTTGCTGTGGGCAATCATTTTTGCAGCTAAGAACAGGAGAGTGCACACACAGAAGCTGCTGTTGGAAAAACTTTGGCAAGCCCATAATTTGGGGCCCAACAAGTAATTCTTCTTTATTGATGAAAAAAAATTTTAGCTTTGGTTCCCAGGAAAAGCAAGGACATTTCTGATTGAACTATTATCTCTCATATCCGTTGTCCTTCAACTCTTCTTTTCCTGATTCCTAAACTCTCTTGATTAAAAGAACTTGCATTTGTGTTGTGGACCCAAGCAGATCTCTGTGAAGATAAGCTTTCTTGCGTGTTGTACAAAATTCTGAACAGTGAACTCTACCTAAATTCCAATCTTTGAAATAAACCATCCCAAACTAGGACAAAATTGTCCTGGCTGCAGCGTGGTTGCTTGAAATTGTTTTCTTCCATCTCAATTCCTGAGTTTTAAAAGCTCTGATCTTTACTTGACAAACTTTGCCAAAATTGAAGCATCTTTCCAAGCACTTAGTTGATTGAATGATTCAAAGCTGATTAATTCATATCTCTCTTTCCCCTGTTTGTGAGATTCCTCTAAGCACATCATCTTTTTCCCACAGCTGCAATACAAACCCTCATAAGAGCCTCACAGGAGTTGCCTCAACAGTTCTGTGCAATTTTTATTACAAAAGGGAAGAGAAAAGTCCTTGATTGCTGTGACTTAAAATTTTCCGCGAAATTTTTTTCTGACAGGAGCCTTTCTACGCAGGTTTAGAGCAGATTTCGGAATGAATAAAAAGTCAATAATTGGCAGGTGTGCAACCAGCCAGGAATAAGCACAAATGTAAATTTACTCCGACAAAATATTTACACAAGACAAGACATACATTCAAGATATTCACGATTTGATCAAATACAATTGCAATGGGATTTTGGCCATGGTTCAGCAGAGAATTTTCAGGCACACATCACAAAATCCACTGAACTGTCATATACTGCTATGTTCCTGGGTGCAATTATGAAATTTTGTGGCCCCCCGCCTTTCTGGGGGGACAGAAACACAAAGAAGCAGAGACATATGCCTGAATTCTATTGAATTTGGCATGGAAATTCCAGGTCCCTTTACCAGAGTACAATTTGTTATGGATTTTGGAAAGTTTCCTTGATAAGGAGCTTTTTTTGGGAGGGGTTTCAAAAAATCTTTTGGATGGCATTTTCTGTTCCCCTGGGAAAAAATTTCCCTGGGCTTCCTGCATTTAGATAGGGTATTAGGTTGTGAAGGACTGACAAAATAACCACATTTTTGGGTACTTATATATCCCCCATAAAATTGTGGGTCATCTTACTGATTTTCCTAGAAGCATCTTTTGATGGCTTTATTGCTGCCAGATGATTTGATCATTTGTCTTTTGGCATGGAAATTGGTATTGGCATTCAAGTCTAAAATATATTCCCCTATAAGGCACTGCTTGTGAAAAATGTGCTGAAAACATGACAGTAAAGTTGGCACAACAATATTATTTTACAAACACAAGCTTAGCAAGAACATAGTCATACAAATTTCCAGGGTACAGTACCAGAAATCCTCAGTAATTCCTCTGGCAGGTTAAACCTTCAAGTGAAGTTGTCTTGCCAGGCCTTTCTTTTGCTCTCTCCAAATCAAGTATTGCCACTTGTTTGCTTCAATGTGGCAAACCTGCAACAGAGCAGGATTTGTCCTTTGAGTTATGACCATGCTGTTGTCATGTGCCAAGGTGAAAACAGCATAGGATTTCTCTTTGCCTGGGTGGCAACATCTCACAGGAACATGAAATAAACCCCATGCATGTGACACTCTTCATGATGATTTTAAGAAAGAAGAGTTTTGAGATTCAGATTTAAGTTTACAAAAATGACCATCCATACATTATTTTTGAATAAGTCTTTCTAAGGTGTCATTATAAGAATAATTGTTCAAGGGTATGAGACATTTTCGAATTTTATTTTTAGATTTTATAACAGTACTGTACTCTGTTCTCCTTACCAGTTGGCAACACTAGAATATAATACCAAACAAAATATATCTTATGTAATCATGATTTGTTGGGATTCATTTGAGGTCTATGACATCCTTAGCAAAGTCTGTTTTGAATCTTTGAATTGAAAAAAAATAGCATTTGGCTTCTCTTATGTAAAGGACTCTTACCCATATAGCTTTCACAGTGCGTTTCAGAAATAGATAAAAGGAACCAATGAACAAATTTTTGGACTGTTCTCAAAGGTTCAATTTCACAGCTGGTCTCCCAAATTTTGCATGTTTAATTAACAAAGATGACCAAGAAAAGCAATCAAAATTCGTTGTGAAAACGATTGAAAACGGTTTCGTCGTCAGCAGCTATAGAATATGAAAGGACTGATTTAATCGATATCCACTTGTATATGCAGATAAAACAGACCCAGCTCATCAGTATCCAAACGTCTTTCTTATTAAAAAAAAAAAAAAAAAAGATTTTTCTTGCATCGCTGGAATCATTCTAATTTTCCCAAAACTTTCACGGTTTTTCCCGTAGAAAATACTTTCTCGCCAAAAGAAACGTGCGATGATGCCGACGGTTTCTCGAATACAGTACAATGATCGTGAATCATAACCAAAATATAGTGCAGAAAGTTTTTTAAAACTGCAAATGCTGTTTTAAATTTTCTTTTTTTGCCTCAGCTGGAAATAAGATAAATTTGAATGAATTGATTGCTCTGGTAGAAAAAAACGTAATCCAAGAAATTGTATCCAACAAAATCCAGCAATGAAATTTGAAGAAAAAAAACACAAGAGAAATCAGATTACGGTGCTATAAATATTATTCATGTTGAATTTCAGAGTTTCCTTGTCAAATTTTAGTTTGTGAACTAAAGGTTTTATTCTGGTTTTTTAGACGAGTTTTTCTTATTTTTATTCATTCTATACCAGCAGAAAAAAAACGAAAAAATCGGAATAATGTGGAGTCTGGTGTGGATTTTTCTCACGGGTTTCAGTCTAGTACTTGCCTCGACTGATTATGAAGCAGACCCTGAAGACATCGAAGAAGAAATTGCCCCGAACCATGGGTTCATTCCCTTCTTGATGCCCAATATTCGTCCTTCAGTGGTGAGATTTTCAGTACAGTATCATTTTTTTAATATTTCAAATGCTTGATTTATGAGAGTTTCAAGAATTTCATCTGAACAAATAATGAATGCTGCACATCGAGGAAATCTTCAAGATACTGTACGTCTGTACCTTTAGAAAACTACTGTACTTTACTCAATATGCAGTATATAAGCTTGTTGATATACCTTTTATCGTTTCATCGTTTTAACATGGCCGGCACCGATATTTTTTTTTGTTTTGAATAGGAAACAAACACGGAATTGAAACTGATCCATATGGTTAAAAAGGAAAATGAGACACACCTAAGAAAATGTTGATCTTCGTCTGCTAATAAATTGGCAAAAAAAAACACCAGCGAAGCTTGAGCTTCTTCCAAGTCCTCCCTCAATTGACAATAAGAAAAGGATTTATTTAATTTTGCTGCATCAGCATTTGTTGGCTCAAGATTCGGGTGAGTGAATTACAAAAAAAATTTTCTTTCGACCAGGTTGACTCGTATATTTGTACATCAATGAAGCTCAACCAGAGTGAGACACGATATATAAGTGAGTGCCTGCTTTTCATTGATCAGCCATTTTCAGCTGAATGAAATATGTTTTGGAATGTTTTACTTTTGTGTTTCAGTACATTTCAGGCCAAATGCGACAGCTGCAACGGTGCATCACATGCTGATGTATGGATGCTTTTCAAAACCAGGAAGCTACCAAGCATATTGGTTTGTTGAAACTTTATTGAGAGGAATTTGATTGAAATTTCATATGAACCTACTTTGAAATGTACAGAAGTTCATTCTACAAGTGGACTTCCTCTACAACAAATCTGCTGGAGGAAGCAGAAACAATCCATTTTAGCAAGAAGTTTGCTGTAGAAAACTACAGTAACATTGAATGAGAGTCTGGAGCAACCAAACAAAATTTCATTGTAGGAAGAAAATCAGTGTAAACAAGAGGGTTGTGGAGAGGGTCCACATGTATAATACTAGCAGGAAAATGTGTTAATCCTTATCTATACTCCTTGTACAGTACAGGTATGATATACTGTTTGTACAGTACCTTACAATTCAACCTCACTCAATTTGACAGTCTCAAAATTTGATGGTCAAATTTGAAGGGAGGTTGAAATTTTACCCTTGCCCTGCAATTTGACCTGTGTTGGCCGCTTTTTTGCATGTTTTTACTTACAGTAATAAATTTAATATGGAGTGCTTTGCAATTGAACTAATTTGAAATTTGATGCTAGTTTGGCTATACTGATTAACCCTTGAGCAGCGGAGTCAGACTATTTTTGAAAAAAATTGTTTCACATCAGGGAAGAAAAGGAAAAAAGACAACAAGGAGCTGAGGATGACAAAGTTTGGAAAAATCCCAATATTGTTTTTTCTTTTTGCACAGAAAAATTTTGCAGGAAAATAAAAAAAATTCTATGTTGAGCAACAGGCTTTTCTCAGATTAATCCTGACTTTGCCTCAGCCCACCTGGAAGGGCTTTTCTGACCTTCAGAAAACTGAAAATGCCCCAGCATACAAAAATAATCTAATTTTGGCTGGCAATGGGGAAGAACCCTCTGCTGTCCAAGGGTTAAGGTCAAATTGCAAGGTGCCATCTGTATTTCATAATCTATCATTTCAAGCTTGATCATGCATTTAACCCTTGGGGGGCAAAGTTGGACTATTTTTGCAAAATTTTGTTGCACTTCAGGGCAGAAAATAAAAAAAGGACAACAGGGATTTGAGGACGAAGTCAGGGAAAAATCTGATGTTTTTTTTTCTTTTTGCACAGAAAAATTTCGTGGGAAAATGAAAAAAATGCTATGCTAAGCAATGGGCTTTTCTCAGATTAATCCCAACTTTGCCTCAGCCCACCTAGAAAGTCTTTTCTGACCTTCAGAAAAGTTAAAATGCCTCAGCATACAAAAATAATCCAATTTTGGCCTGCAATGGGAAAGAACCCACCGCTGTCCAAGGGGTAAATCCATTAATAGATGCTAGGACATTAATTTGTTATGAGAGCGATTTTTGCGCAAAATAGAAGTGTTTCAATGAAACAGTTTACTGATTTTCATGAGATCAAACACTCATGTCAGATGAGAATGCAGAACAAATTCAATGGGCAATTAAAATGTATAGGTAATTTGTATTTTCTGCTTCATGCATGTCAATTAGTGGTATTGTGTTAGAAATGTATTCCTTCAAATCTTACTGGGCGTTTTTTGAACTTTTTAAAGTGATTTTATCCATTTCACCTTGATTGTAATGGATTCCTTGTCCAAAAGTTACTACTGTATATATTGAATTATGTCTTGAACAAAACAAATGCGATCAAGAACACCCTTGACTGTTTTCATGTTTGTTGCTCAAGGCCCCATTTTAATAAGAAATAACAAGATCAAGCACAGTAATGTAATACTGTACGTACTTGTACACAGTACAGTGAATACCGCCCTCACCATAAGTTATTCTTCATAGTCAATCAAATAAAGACTGGCAAGTTAGGTTAATTGAAAGATATCCCTGCATCAGAATGACATTAATTTTTTCTTTATTTACGCCTATTCAACTACAGGAAGTGTGGTATGGTCTGCAGTGGAAGATCCAGAGTCATGTATGGCTGGGCCAAGGATGCCCCGGAACTTTTTCTTCCGCCGGAAGTTGGCTTCAATGTGGGGCGTGGTTCCGGCCTAAAATACCTTGTATTGCAAGTTCATTACTCTAATGTGGCTCCTTTCAAAGGTATAATCTGGAAAATGTGCTCAAGTGTAGAAATAGTGGCACTTTGCAGCAGGTTAAATTTTGATATAACAAAGAATTCTGCAAGAATCATAATGAAAATTTGTTCTGAAAAAATTGTCAAGTCAAAATTCTCATGTAATATTAAGGCATTTTCCCTGGAAAATCAGATACAGTCAAACCTCATTAAACCACCAACGTTTGCGCAGCAGAATTTTGGCAATTCAATGGGGTTGGTGGTTTATTGAAGGAGGGTGCCTCATTTAAAAAATAATAATTCTGATGCCCACCCTTCTCCACCTGCCAGGTCATTCTTTGTTTCTTGAAAGCTCTCCCATTGTATACATATTCAGACACAGCAAACCAAAAGTTGTATGCTGCGTTTCAACAGAAATTTGTTCAAAGTTAGTTAGGATATGATACTGTACTTGAATTTGGATCATTTGGGGGTAGGCTAATTTAAATTGATTTAATTGATATTGGGAGGGGTGGATGAGTTTTCCATTTTTCCAATTTCTCTTGAATGAAACTCTGTACACAAATATTGAAGTGGAGGGTAGTATGGGGCAATGAAAGGCTGGAAGGAATTGTTTTTGGCAGAAAAGTTGAACAGCACGAAGTCAATCTGTTCTGTCTCACCAGAAAATTCACAAAATGGAAACAATTATATTTAAATTTTTCAACCAGCACAATGTCCCTTGTATTCTAAAATTTACAACTTTTTTATCTACAAATTTGTTTAATGAGTGCTCATTTCTGAATAATGAATTGTGTTTTTTTCTGGCCATGCCACCTTGGATAAGATTCTGAAATTCAATTGCCTTGGAGGTAGGAAAAAACGTTGGCGGTATTGGAGTAAAAAAATGCAAATCTCCAGTTTGTTCTGTAAACATTTTTGGCAGATGGTGGTTGGTGGCTTAATGGGGGTCTCCTTTGGCTTCAAATAAGTTAGGGAGATTTGTTCAGGAGAAAAGTTGGTGGGAACAGAGGGTGGTGGTTTATCTGGAGGCAGTTCAACAGGGGTTGACTGTATACTTAGTTTTTATACTTGAATCCTGTTTTTCTCTGATTCAACAGAATCAACACCAAACCAATTTTTCAAAACAGAGTGAAGAACTCAGCAGAATAGACAAATATAACTGTCAAATAGGGAGTAAAAAAAATTCATGAAAAATCTACATATAATATCGAACAAACAAATTTTTTCCACCATTTACTTTCTTTAATGTCCGGAAGACGGAATTCCAATAATTGATGCCAGAATTTTTTGGACAGAATCGCGTGTAATATTTTCATATCATTTCAAAGAAAATTTGTCATGCGTTCAAGAAGACGTTTTGAGAAATCCTCTACCGTGTATTATTGTGCTGAAACAAATTCCAGACAGCATTCTGCAAAAAGCTTAAGGCGTCAGACATGATGCAAAAATTGAAAGCAGTGTCAATATGGCACGTCATTCACGCGATATATATGGACTTGGAAAACTTTCTCAAACAGTATTTCCCTCATCAGAGATTCCTTCGCAATTAAAAAAACATTTAAAACTCGACTAAATTACCCTCTTGAATGTGTCGTGTCGGAAATGAATTCTTTTGCAAATATTGAAATATATATTTTTCCCCACAGGAGGGAAGAGAGACAATTCTGGAGTGTTTCTGCATTACACCACTGAACCGTGAGTTTAAAAATATGAAACACATTTCTCAATAATAATAATTCTTGAAATTCCTCTGCTCATCATCGAACAAGGCAGCCAAAATCAGCCGGTGTGTTCATGTTGTCAACCGGCGGTGTAATTAAGCCGCACTCAACCGCACACATGGAATCTGCGTGCCAAATAAAAGAGGACAAGGTCATTCATCCATTTGCTTTCCGGACACACACTCATACCCTGGGTTAGAAAAGCAAACACTGACTAGAAATATAATTTTTCTGCATTTTTTCCTGAAGGAAAGCAAATAGACGTAGTTGTCATGCATGAGCGACATCTACGTGAGGAAAGCGGAGTAATTTTCTGTCGTTGCTCTGGAGATAACCAAGGATGATGAAGAAGTAGTTATTTTTCCAATCACTAGATGTCGCTTTCTGCTACCAGTGAGAAAAACACGACAGAATCCTTAATATGTTGGATTGATAAGCTTCACTTTTCAATGGTTGGCCAATAAGTTGAAAAGCATAATATTCCTTGAATATTGCAAAATAATTGTTCTAGAGTTCGCTCCTGAGCCAGTTTCTGACCCGGATCTGACGGAAAAGCATAAGCTAACTTCGAAAAAAAAAGGCAGCAAATTTCTCGTGTTACTCAAAATTTTAAAACGACAAAAATTGTGCTGCAGGTCGAGTCGTGTCCGGATACAGGGTTCGGAAAGCCAAAGGTCATGGAGATGACTGGAAACTTATCGGGAAAAAGAATCCGCAATTGCCACAAATGTTTTATCCGGTGCAGAATGAACTGGAAATTCGAAAAGGCGACATTATTGTGAGAACAGAGTTACCATTCTTTGATTAGAAGTGTATATACTCATTGCAAGTATTGTATATGTAATCATTTTCCGAAATTTTTAACAATTCTGATATTTTATCGTTAATATAGGCTTCGAGATGCACAATGAAGAGCGAACGGAAGATAACCACAACCGTGGGGTGAGTTTCTGCACACCTTCATGGAACATTTGAGCAAGTGTCATTTTAGCATCATGCAACACTTCACCATGCAACATTTGAGCTGGGCTACTTTTTAGCAAGGGGACATTTTAGCCAGGCCAACAGTTCAGCAAGTACCCATTTAAGCAAGTTAACAACTGAGCTGCATACACCACTGTGTCATTTCAGCAGGTTTTTATTTTTTACCACGTTTTTATGAACTCACTTTCTTGTCTGTCGTTCTGTCTGTCTGTTTGTCCGGATCAAATTTTGAAACTCAAATTTCACTCACTTCCCGACTAGCTATCAAGCTGAAACTTTCAGGATAGCTTAGAAACTGATGACAATGCAATCTTTTGTGAAAAAATTAATTTTAAGAATATTTTTTAAAAAGAATAAAATAATTATAGTAGATTTCTATAATAAAACTTTGAGCAGGTTTTCCTTGGCCCCAAGAAAAAAACCCATGGTGAACTGAATTGGTCGCAGAGGTCCGAGTTCAATCCCACCCCCTGGAACATTTTTTTT